CTCCCCTGCCTTCCCCCTGCCTTCCCCCGTGCTCCCCTGCCTTCCCCCGTGCTCCCCTGCCTTCCCCCGTGCTCCCCTGCCTTCCCCTGTGCCCCCGCTCCGCAGCCGCTTTCTCCAGCGGGAGATGCGCCCCGGGAAAGTTGCGCTTCCCCGCGGGCCGGGGTGTCAGGGAAGCCGGGAGCACGGGAGGAAGGAGGTGGATGGGAATAGCCGGGAGCCACAGGCACACGAAGGAAGGAGGTGGATGGGATAGCCGGGAGCCACAGGCACACGGAGGAAGGGAGGAGGAGGAGGAAAGGAGGAGGATGATGATGATGATGGTCACTCTCGCGGTCCGAGAAGGTGCGCAGGGCTCAGCCAGCGCCGGCCCGTCCCGCACCGCTCCAGGTAGAGCTTGTCCATCTCCTGCCCTGGTGATGAAGGTTAAGATTGGGCAACTTCTTCAAGGTCACCGAGAGGGCAGAGAGAATAAATCAGAACGACGTTTAGTTCTGGGGACTCTTCGGTGTGTATTAATGCATTGGGCTTTAGCAAAAGCTCCGATTTCGGGTGAAAGTTGGCACAGCTCGACAAAGTGACTTTGGAAAAGTAACTCTTTTTTTTTTCAACCCTACTGTTGAAAGTTCAGTGCCAAAGCTCTGAAGTGACTCCAGCCCACACCTCCTCGCTGGTGGCTTTATGTTCATTGCTTACCTGGACCTCCAATCTCACCCTCAGCTTCCTGGGTGGGTGTCTGTGAATTTAAGGGAGAATTGTCAACACTGAGCCTTTGTCCTGAGCTAAGTGACACTGCTGTTTCCAGTGCTTTAGAAAGAGCTAAAGGAAGCAGCTTGGATTATTTGCACCATCTAGGGCAGTATTAGGTGGGGAAAGAGGTGGATGTTGTGTGTGACATAGATCAATGTACTGGGAAAATGGCAAGTTGTGGCTTTTACCTACAGGTGTAGATGTAAAGCCAAAAGACAGGTGGGCTAAGATAAATGTTGATGTCAAAGCAGGACTTCATGTGCCTTTTTGTCTTCCTTTCCTTCTTAAAACTGTTAAAATTTATTCTGGTTTATAGGACAGCCAACCTAGAGCAAATTTATCAGGGTAGCCCAGCCTGAAATTGGAAATAAGTCAGAACTACGTTCCTGGATGTTGATGGAATAACAAAGTAACACATTATTCTGGGATGCTGGTCAAAATATTTGTCTTGGAGTTGCCAGTCCTGTAGATATGGGCTTTTCCTCCTGTGCCAGTCCAGGGCTGGTCCAGCCTGAGTAGCTGCAGTGCCACCACGGTGGTGGCTCAGTGGTGCCTGTGCTCTGCAGCACTGCTTCCCCCACAGCTTTGATGTGTGCACCCTGAAACCTTTCCTGGCAACACGAGCCTCCCCGTGGAGTGAATTCAAACCTCCTGCCAGCAGGATTTGCTTTTCACTCTTCTCTGCCATAGACCCCTTAGAAGTGGTTTGCAGCTCCTCAGGACCTGTTGGTCACGGGTTAAAAATCGCTGACCTGGGCAGGTATCTAAATAAATCTGGTTTGTTAACGTTGCTGGGCTTTATTTTCCTGCAGTGTGGGTACCTAGTGCTACCTTATTCGTATCATATTAATTTGCAGCTCAAATATGGTGAACAAGTGTTCTTAAGTGGTTTATTTAATTGCCAGCGACTTTCAGTGACGTAGACAGACACTTGAATTTAGCCAGAAGATAACAATCAAATATGAAGATGACTGGCAAACATGCTTCTGCCAGAAAGTTATTTGCTTATGCCTTGGAAGAAGGGCAAGGGCAGAACCTGGGATGCAGTGTAGGGGAAGTAAGAATCCAAGGGCCAAGCTGGCTGTTTCTGCATCCTCCAGCTCCTCCTGTGATCTGGGAGTGGGTGCTGTGGTTTGCAGTTGTTGCCTGAACAATGGGTCCATCTCTTACCACGCCAGAGCCTCTGGTTCTTCTGGGCTCTTGGTCCTTTCTGCTTCAGAAATGGCTGAAAGGCTCTTGTGCCACTCACCATCCGCTCAGTGAAATGAGAAAAAAGGAAAAAAAGAGCATTTCAGCCTCCTTCTTCACCCCACTGCTCCTAACAAAGCACGTGATGTACTTGTGACAAGGCTGAGCCTGAAGTCAGTCTGTTTCCAGACAGATGATAATAACAATAATAACAATAATAATGATCATAAACGATTGTTTGTAGTATGAGTATGGCATCCTATAACTTTTTAAAATGCTACACTCAGAGATTTTTTAATGTCTCCTTTATTTTGCACGTGAAAGTAGAATTAATCTTGGTTTCCTGGTCTGGGGAATACTGCTGATAGTGCTTATCAAGAGGCACTGTTTTTTAACACCTCTTGATAAGTAGTTGCACAGTATAATGGCATTTTAGGAGCTAATCTAGAACAGCTTCAGAACTATTTCTTAGTTCTGTGAGAAGGACTAGGTTTTATTTGTGGCTGGCTTTCATGTAAATATTTCCCCAGTCTCACAGAGTTCTCTGAAATACTTGTGATGTATTACAAGTATTACTTACCTTACTGCACAGGCATGCTGAGTAGAGCTCACCTCTGTTGAGAAGGTTTGTTGAAAGGCCAGGACATTGTAGGACCCTGATTTTAATGACTTTGGGACATTCAGTCAATTTGTCTTTGATCCTTGCCAGAGGACAAATGGAGTAAATTAAAATCACTTTTTTTAACCATCACAATAAAAATATTCAGTGCCACCTCCTGAAGAAGTGTCAAGGAAATCTTGTTAATGAAATGGGATGAAAAAATCTTATTTAGCGCCTTTCCTTTTTCATTCACAACTGGATTATTTTTAACCTTTCTATACTTCATATGCAAGTTATGATAATTTTTGTTACTGATTGTTAAACAGGAATCTTGACCATGTTTCTTTCCTCTTGTCCAGGTGACAAGGCAGGAACTGTCCTGTGAAATTGCTCTGTGAAAAGGTCATAAAAATGAATCTGGAACCTCTTTGCTTGTTTTCCCCCTTCTTTTATTTTATTGCCCCACTAACCTTTCCTCCACACCATCATATCATGGTTATATTGTGCTCATGGTTATGTTGCTGAAACTTCCAGGTGGTCATAAAATGGTTGGAAATTTAAAAAAAATGAAATCTTGTTTCCTTTCTGCTGTCATCAATGCCATAACAGGTTGGCTTGCCCTTCTTTATGGTTGAGCTTTGCACTGAAATTACTCCTTTGCTATCTCAATGAGTTGAGATTGTTGGTTTGCTCAATACAGGGAATGATTTGGATGTGATGCAGTGTGTTAGGGTCATGTAGAATGTCTGGATGCTTTTATGCTTCCTACTTTTAGAGGGTGAGCTTCATTCATTTGGTTTTTGACTGTTCTGTCCTCTTAGATCTTTCTGTTTACATGTGGTTGCTTTTACGTAGGTCTAACTGTGACTAGTTTGTTTTTTTTTTTTTTATTCTGGAGTTTCTTTTTCAATTGTTGATAGCTATCACAGAGCTTAGCAAACAGCTGATGTTGTTTCTGTTTCAGGAAACAGCACAAAACGTGTACTGGAGCAATATGTAAATGCAGGAAGCAAGCTGTTGCCAATAGAACTCTGGTTTACTTGGCCAGTTGAATTCACAGTGTTGAATTGGGATATCTGGGGGCACTTATTCCATCCTATTGACTTGGGCATGGAAACAGCCTATGGGGATCTCTGTGTGAAAGCTTGTGGAAGCCAATTAACAATTACAGGTTGGTGAGTGCTGAGGAAATCCTGTCATTTCTTGCATGGACAGCCAGGGTAAAAGGCAGCAGGTCTGGTGTCATGACAAAATCCTGCTTAGACCTTTAGGGTTTCTTTGCCTTTCATTCTGTCTGTTGCCTTTTTGGGATGATCTCCTGGCCAGAAATGGACACAGGAGCTGTGAGGGGGCCATGAGCTGTAATGAGGCAAAAGCAGAGTCTTGTTTTTGCCCAGAATTCACCAAAATTCAGCGAGGGGTGTAGAAGCACGTGGTGGTGAGGACCATGTTCAGCTGAGCAGCACAACTCTGTGCTTGGTGTTTCCTGTCCAGGGCACAGAGGGACTGTTCCTGTGGCAGGGAGGAGGATGAGCCTTTGGAGGGCTGAGAGTCTGGAAAGTCCATTTTGGAATAAATAAGATGTCATCAAATGAAGTACAGACCAACTCTGCTGCAACTTTTACTTAAAGACCTGATTTGCAGAAATCTGTAGAAAAACTTATAAAATATCCAGAAAGCTGTTGGATTGAATTTGCTTTGAACTAATCTAATATTTTTATTTTTTTTTGTATTGTTGTTTGGCTGTGTTCCTTTTTTGTTTTAATTTTGGACAGATTTACTGGAAATAGTGATGCATTTCTTTAATCTTAATGAACCATGATATAACATTAACATGTTAAGGCGTATGAAAGAAGCTCAGATACTTCAAGTAGCAGCTGTGAGGCAACACATTTTGCTTTATTTTTCAGTGAACTGTGTCTCAGTGGTGGCTTTTTACTCTTTGTCTCTCATGTCATTAGAAACAGTGGCTTTATTCCTGAGTTTTGAAAGAAAAACACACTCAGTTTTGGAGCTTCTGTATTGCTGGGGGTCTAAATGCTGGTTCTGCTCCATCCATACTGGAGGTTTTGAAATTTAGGGGCTTGACTGTGTAGGACTGATGGGTCCCTTTCATTATTGGGTGCAGTTTTGCTGGAAGGTGTTAACAAGCCAACCCTCAGGCCTCTGGTACCCTGTGACACCTTGAAGCCTGCTCCATCCTCCCAGTTCCCTTGTCTGAGATCTCCAGCTCCCTTTAGAGGACTCCTGAAGTTTGTTTTTTTTCAGATGCACCCAGTAAAGCGCTAGAATAGCTCAGCAGACATCAGGAGGAATGAGGGCAGAGAGAGGGAAGGAGAGTTGTACATTCCCACTGAACTTCTCTGCATCATCAGAGCGGGTTTATGACACTTTTAAATGGTCTATTTAAATTTGTCTGATGAGTGAGGTGAGTTAGAGGCCAAAGCATTGGACTGAGCTAAGGCAGAGCAGACCCTTCTAGCTCTCACCTGTTGGGATGGGGGAATGTTTGACAGGTCAGTTTGGTTCTCCATGACCCAGCTTCCTTATCTGAGAAGTTGTTGCAGTTCCCTTAATGTGTTTGTAAAACATTTCGAAGTGTGGGAGTGATGTGTGCTTAGGAAAACCAGATTGTATCATTATTGGATGCTACAGATCGATTTTTGCCTTAAACATTTGCAAAACCAACAAGAGTTCGGTGGTTTTGGTTTCATATAGTTTTAAAAGACTGGAAAATGTGTATGTGTAATATGGCAGTCTGTATTTACCTATGAGTTCCTGTACTTTATAACAGGGAAACTCTTATAAATCAGAAGCTGGATAGGAAATAGATTAACAAGAACTGAATTGGGAGTGATGGTAGATAAACCAGCTAAACGAGAGAGATATTTTTTCTTCAGTTCATTTAAAAACGAAAAAGCAAACCAGAACTACTCCCAGAAACTCCCAAAAAAGAGGGAGGAACAGTTTCCCTGTTAATTTGCAAAGCCTTTTAAATGGTAATGTAAATAAAGTTTTTGGAGTTTTTTGGTCACAGTACCTGTTGGCTTACCTCAGAATCACCACTTCCCTCTGGTATCACTAAACTTCCTAACCCTTTTTATCCCCCTCTCCTTTTCAGAGAAGGAGGAACAGAAACATCCTCCTGTGATTTATTTGTCCCTAAGTCTGGGCAGAGCCGAACTTCCCAACTCCTGTGAAGAGCTGGGCAAGGATGGATGGGACATAAATCAAAGCAGAAGTCCTGGAGCCTTAGTCACCAGTCTGATGGGCTTTCAGTAAGTATGAGTAAGACTCCTTTCTCACCTGCCTGCCACACAAATAAGTTCAGTGGTGCCTTATTTACACCTCTTTGCCAGCTCTGAAAAGCAAACACCAGCATCAGCCTTCCTGAAGTGTCACCAAGAACTGGCACTCTTGAGGTGCCAAGCAGATGTTGGAATCTGCCTCAGTGACATTTGCAGTTCAGTTTTGGGCAAAGTGATGCCTTGATGGAGGTTCTAAAAAATAACCTACTACTTTGGGCTGAATTATACCGTGTCCTTACTGCAATGTGCAGGGTTTTGCTCTGCAGGGTAGAGAAAAGTGCAGGACTGAGGCACTTTCTAGGCTTTTTTTCTTGTAGAGAAACATGAGAGGACTCAGTAGATAGCAGCATTTATTTGAAAGCTTGTGGAGGTGTATAAATGCCTGTTTTAGATCTGCACCAGCAAAACTTTTTTGTATTTCTTGTGTCTGTGGCAATCAGTGGTTTTGCTCAACGTTAACGTTTAACTTTAAAATAAACTGCTGGATGCTTGAAACATTCGATGCAGGATTTTACCCTCTCTTTGTTTGCAAATCTTTCATATTATTGTGGCACAGCTCCCCTGCCACGCTACTCTCCCTGTTTTTGGGACAACTACACCACACAGCCAAGAAAACAGAGAGTAAGAGTGAAAAAAACCTTGCCCGGTGGGGGCTGCAAGTTGTGCTATTGAATTTGTATTTCCTGATGCTTTGCTGGTTTCTGTGTCACAAACCACAGAGTGACACAGGAGTAAGTGCTGAGAGAGGCAAGAGGACCTGAACACGGCACTGACACCCAGTGGGTCGCTGCCAGGATATTCTTTGGCTCTTGTTCTGCCAGCAAGAGTGAGCACTGACTTGACCTTCTCAGTTTTTGCTGCCCTCGTGCTAATGAATAGTTGCCACTGTATAATCCTCTGGCTTGTATTGAGAGGCTGCTGAGATCTGATTTCATGCTGCACCTTCATTTGTACCCTCTCTTCAAGTGCTTCCGCTTGGTTTGGGGTGGGGCTTCTTTTAAAAAATTTGTTTTATTTTCCCTCTCTGCAAATCTGGCCTTTTTCCAAAGGGAAAACTGACAAGAGAGTTGGACAAAGCCTCCAGTTGGGATTGTTTTCTTTTTTGTTTGTTTGTATAGGTTCACACTTTACCCCCTGAAACTTGAATTGTTTCTGTACTGTTGACAAAGGAAAAAATGGCCTCTACTCTAGTAAGTAAACAAAATATTCACAATATTCCTCTCTGGTTTTTTTTTTTCCTTTTAATATGATTTTATTTCTTTATATGCAACAGCCCATTGAGTGATGTCCTGATTAACAAGCGTTTTGAAACATGGAATATTCGTTGGCCAAAAGGGGAAAAGATGTTGTTAGGCAGGTGTAAGAGGCTGGAATTAATCAACATTTCAAGTGCTCAGATACTTTCAGGAGAGAATTATGCTTTTGAGCACATGCTTTTGATTTATTTAAGCTTGTTTTGGTGGGATAGGTTAGAATGGCTTCCAACTAGTTCTTAAAGCCCTTCCAGGATAAATATTTGTGAAAAACGAGGTTCACATAATTTTTATAGAATTTAAAAGTTTAATAAAAAACACAATTAGGAGAAAAAAATAAAGTAAAATATACAGATATGGCTGGGTGTCTCTGCATTCAGCCAAGAGAGCACACCTTACTAACAAAGGATTGTCCCTTAAAAACAGAACCTTACTACATATCCATAAATTCTCTTACATATTCATACATTCTTCTTAGGATCTTTGGTGTTCTTCTGTTCAGTTTTCTCTTGCCCCCTTCCCAATAGATCAATCTTCTTGGCACTATTGAGATTTACATTCTCTGATACCAGAAATGCAATAAATTCCTCCCCCCCAGAGTTCTGGTCACTGCTGTCTTCATCTGAATAAAAGAGTTTACAAATGAAGGAGTTCTCTAGCTATTTTTTTTTTTCAAAAACAGTTTTTATTTTAATACTATGCCATAGCCTAACATATATGTATTATACAACTATTTCTAAGTTTCATCAATAACAGAAATAAAGAAAACTATATTAATACAACAAAATTTCTCATTCTTATACACATAACATCCATTTCAATATTTGTGAAAGCCAACAATATAAAATGTATCTATAACAAATTCCATGAGCTGTTGCAGGCCAGTGTGTGTCAGAAATAGCTTAGGTGTACCTGGTGTTGTCACAGCATGAAATGGGACAGTAAGCATTAATCCTGGACCTGGACAAAGGCTGTCACTTGTCAGCATTTCTTTCTGTGCTGGTGCTGCCCACAGCTGTCCTTGCTGTTTATTCCTACCCTGTCAGGCATCCCAGGGCAAGTGTTTGTGCAAACATCTCGGGAGGGCTGGGCTCAGGGATCCTTCTTGGGCTGGGTTGCTATGGATCAGGAAACTGATCTTGTCAGGGGTTTTCCAGCCTCACAGCTCCGTGTTACTTTTGTTATTCAAAATGTGAGGTTTTAGGCATGTTCTGTGAATTTCTCTGTTCAAAGTGGAGTCACCAGTAAGCGCTCTGTGTGCAGGGGTTGTATTTTACCCAGTGGGGCTCTGCAGTTTGTCCTTGTTCCTCACCTTCTCCTGTCTCCTTCCTCCCCATGCCACCCCCCAGGGCCCACCACCGCCGTACTACGAGAACAGGGGCTTCCAGCCAGAGCCCATCTACGCTGCCAGGCAGGCAGCAGGTGCTAGTCCTTACCCACAGCTCTTCTCTCCAAGCGCTCCCTCCGTGCCAAGCTACGTCCCAAGGGTTGCCACCCACCAGTCCAGCAGGCCGGTAGCACACCCACCCAGGAGAAGCTGTGCAGCCAGTAAGTTCTGGGGATTTCTCCAGGAGAAACTGTGCAGACAGTAAGTTCTGGGGTGATTTCTCCAGGGGAACCTGTGCAGACAGTTCTGGGGTGATTTCTCCAGGAGAAGCTGTGCAGACAGTAAGTTCTGGGGTGATTTCTCCAGGGGAACCTGTGCAGACAGTTCTGGGGTGATTTCTCCAGGAGAAGCTGTGCAGACAGTAAGTTCTGGGGGGATTTCACCACTGGAACCTTTGCAGCCAGTAAGTTCTGGGTGATTTCTCCAGGAGAACCTGTGCAGCCAGTAAGTTCTGGAGGGATTTCTTCAGGAGAAACTGTGCAGACAGTAAGTTCTGGGGTGATTTCTCCAGGAGAACCTGTGCAGCCAGTAAGTTGTGGGGTGATTTCTCCAGGAGAACCTGTGCAGCCAGTAAGTTCTGGGGTGATTTCTCCAGGAGAAACTGTGCAGTCAGTAAGTTCTGGGGGGATTTCCAGGATAACCTGTGCAGCCAGTAAGTTCTGGAGGGATTTCTCCAGGAGAAGCTGTGCAGCCAGTAAGTTCTGGGGGGATTTCTCCAGGAGAACCTGTGCAGACAGTAAGTTCTGGGGATTTCTCCAGGGGAACCTGTGCAGTCAGTAAGTTCTGGGGTGATTTCTTCAGGAGAACCTGTGCAGAAAATAAGTTCTGGGGGGATTTCTCCAGGAGAACCTGTGCAGTCAGTAAGTTCTGGGGTGATTTCTCCAGGAGAACCTGTGCAGCCAGTAAGTTCTGGGGTGATTTCTCCAGGAGAAGCTGTGCAGTCAGTAAGTTCTGGAGGGATTTCTTCAGGAGAACCTGTGCAGCCAGTAAGTTCTGGGGGATTTCTCCAGGAGAACCTGTGCAGCCAGTAAGTTCTAGAGGGATTTCTCCTGGAGAAAGGTACTAAGGGAAAGATACCTTCCCTTCCAAGTTGTGCATGGAAGGAGCAGCTCCCTTGTGGATGGAGAAGGGACAGCTGGCTGGGGTGCTGGTGCAGCTGGGTGCTTGGGGGGGAAGGATGGTGGAATGGAGAAAAGTCTGGCTAAAAACAACTGGTTTCAATGTCAAATAAAATAGTGCTGGTGGGTGAAAATTACTTTACTCATGGACCTAATTTCTCTTTTCCTCCTTGCTTTCATTTCAGGTCTAAGGAAAACCATAATCATATTATTATCTATATTAATAGTCATTTGTTGTGCAATTGCTGCTTTCTTCATCTGGTATTTTGGTAAGTTGTTTTGTTGTTTTTTTTTTTTTAATTTTGATTTATTTATTTAATTTTAATGTATTAAGATTTTCAAGTTTAGAAATATCTCATTCTCATTTTATGCTTTATGCTGAATTAAGGACAAAGAAGTCTTTGTTCCTTTTCTCCTAAGAGATGAACTAATATTGCTTCTTAATGGCTCAGTTTTGTTTGTGGGTTTAGGAGTTAGTGTTTTGTTTATTTCAGGGTGGTTTTTTTTGGGTGTGTTTTTTGTTTTGTTTTCTTTCTTTCCTTCTTTTTTCTTTCATTCTTTCTTTTTAATTTTAATGCTGCTATTTCTTTCCAAATTTGAGCTTCACTTAATTTCAGGTGAAGGGAGGAGTTTGCAGTAAGTGTGTAAAACTTAACTGCAAGACTGTAAATTGTCAAGATGTGTTTTGTTTTGCTAAAGTGGGATCTCTCTTGGAGCAGAAGTCATTTACATCCATTTATTTCTTTCTGTGGGGCTTTTGTGTAAACATTTCATGAGCCCAGCCTGTCTCAGCACTCTGAGTTGTACCGTGGATGTTTGCCTTGGAAATCCTCCCCAGCTGGGGTGGCTGAGATCTGAAGCTGGGCTGGACCAGTTCTGTTCAGCTCAGGTGAAGTTTGTCTTGAATTTCCCTTTCAATGAAAGGTGCTTTGCTAAAAGAGCAGGAAAATAAAAATTTGCTGATTTTAGGAGCCTCTCCTTTCTGTTCTGCTCAGGAAAAGAGGAAGAGAGATTTAATGGAAGATGTCCCAGCTCATTGCATTTGGGTTTGACTAAAATGATGTTCAAAGACCCCTTCCAAACTATACTATGATTTTAAGAGAGTTAATTTAGAACTGTTAGAATGACCCTATGAATGATTTTTTTGACTCATTTTGATTTAAGCAGGGTGACTGTAACCTTGTTTTAAATGAGAGCAGAAGTACGTAATCGAGGCGTTCATTCTCTTCCTCCTTTAACACGTGTTAATGCTTTGCCAGTGCAAAGCTGACTCCTTTCTGACAACTTCACGGTGCCTGATTATTCAGGGGAGGCCAGTGGCCAAAATCCAATCAGCTGCATCAGAGACTTGATCTGACAAGCGATTCAAAGGACAGAGCAATCCATCTCCTGCTGTGGCAGGCTGGGCTCCCTCCCACCCCCCGCTGTAAGAGCCGCTTCCAGCGGTTTGCTCCATCCAAGTGGGAAACTCTTCGAGAGCTGGGCTGATGTGCAGCCTCCTGGCTGTGTTTGTCTCCCTGCAGTAGAGAATCACTGTCTCAGCTCCCTGATCGAGTGTGGCTCCTCAGGGGTGTGCATGTCCCCCTCCCAGTGGTGTGATGGAGTGAGCGACTGCCCCAACGGGGAGGACGAGATGCGCTGTGGTGAGTGACACCAGCCTGGGCTGGGGGGAAAAAACCTGCAGCAGCTGCAGGATGATGGTCAGCTGGGAGCAGATTGCCTTGTCCAGAGCTTGCCTAAGTTGCAGCAAGGCTGTCTTAGCCTGAAGTCTGTTTTTTAAAATGGTTTAGGATGTGTGCTAAGTATAGATGTTCAGTTTGTTTCCTGCCCGGTTGAAAAGCTGAAATAAAACGCTTGGCTCAAGGGTTTGAGCTGCCTTGACTTTGAGTCAGTTTTTTAAATATCACCTTTTAATTTGGGTGGGATTTGTGCAGAACTGAATCTAGCATTGTCTCTGGATGGAGCAGTCAGTGGTGACTTCTCAGTAAGCTTCAGGTGAAAATACAAAGCTGGTGGTCTTCAGTCAGGCTTGTCTTTTTCCATGTATTTTGCATTCCTCATTCTAACCCCTTCGTTCTTCAACTACTTTCCAACTCATTTGTGTAAGAAAGCTTGGCCTAACCATTGCTTTGAACTGAAAAGATGCCAAGGGAAGAAGCTTCAGTGCAGAGCTGAAGGTAGAAGGTGGAAACATTGATTTGCCCATTCCAGAGGTTTGGCATCTTGTGTCGTGCCAGTGCCACACTGGAAAACTCCAGCAGTGCTTTGAATTCCCTCTGTAAACTTGGATTCTCATGCAGGGCTATCATTTACTCATAGCTGTTCCACTCCATTTGGTTGAATAATGGGTTCTTGGAGAAGCCTGTTTCAATCAGTTCTTTTGCTTCAACTATTTTTTATTAAATTCTTGTGCAAGCAAATACATAATGGGAGGTGGAATGCCAGAGCTAATTGCTCCTGGTTACATTCTTGCTCTGCAAAGGGCTCCTCTGAAGAAATTTGGTGTATTAAGAGATAATAGAAAGTATTTTTCAATAGATCATATTTTATTTATAGACAGTATGTGATTAAGAAATATATGGTTGCATAAAGAAAAGATCAGAAAATTTTCATTATTGCAATCTTAGTGGTAGAATATAAAAGAGAATTTTGAGTATAAAAGCTGAATGAAAGGATGAGCCCTATCTTGTACCTTTGCATTTTGAAACTGGTAGTTCTTTGAGATTGCCTTATGTGAAAAGAAGTCAGTCATTTCCATATTCCTGCCTGCTGGATATTTACTCAGACTTTGAGTAGAAGGGAGCATTAAATTAACATCAGTTCATACATGAAGTGGATATTATGGGTAATAATAATTTCTCCCAAGCAGAGAAAGCAGTAATAATAGCATGTGGTGTTCTTAGTTTCTTTTTTCTTTTTTCTTTTTCCCTTTCTTCCTTTTCTGGCAGTTAGACTTTTTGGACCAAATTTTATCCTGGAAGTTTATTCACCTGTCAGCAAATCCTGGTATCCTGTTTGCCAAGATGGCTGGAATGATGATTATGGGAAGATTGCATGCAAAGACATGGGCTACAGCGTGTAAGTCCAACCTCTGTCAGCCTTTGCTCAGACACAGAAAGGTTAAAATTTCCCTCTTGCCATTTTTCACGTGGCTGAGACTTTGCTGTGAAATTGTACTGGCAAAAAGAGAAGTTGTACTCTTCATCTTGCCCTGTTCCACGAGGTGCATGCATATCAGATGGAAATATTATTTTAACCTAGTGGCTGGTGGGAAGTGGAACTTGACAGATGTTTCAAGAATCTGAGGCTCTGGCTGGGCTGCATTCACGTGAAAACAAAAACAAATATTTCTAGTGTCATGCCAGGAGCTCTGGCTTGGCACAGCTCATTGTTATCACTTGTTTGAAATCTGAAACCACTACTGGGTTTCATAGTGGGCTTTCTGTTTTGCAGGGATACGTATTTCCACAGTCAAGGGGTAGTGCCTGAAGTCAGCTTTAAGAGCTACATGAAGCTGAACACAAGTGCTGGGAATATAGACTTGTACAAAAAGCTGTACAGCAGGTATCTTTCTTTAATAAAAGCCTCTCTCCTTTCATCCAGGGTCTCTCCAGATGCTGTAAGAGCTGTAGCTTCTCCTGCAGCATAATGCAAGTGTGCGTCTTCCAGTGGGGATTGTTGGAGGGAAAGAGACTTTATTTTTAATCTGGTTGCAGCAACTGTTCTTCCCTCTTTTAAAAACCATTTTTCACTCCTCCCTGTCCTCTGCTAAAAAGAAATTGTCCCACATTCTGTGCTGTGTAGAATGTTGCCATGTTAAAGGTATTTTTCTAATGCCCTCTGACCATCAGCAGGAGTTTGTGTATGGCGACAGGAGCTACAAGCTGCAACACATTCACAGCAGCTGGCACAGCCTTTTTTTGTGTCACATGAACACACAGCATGCAAACATGGATCTTCACTGTGGAAAGCATCATTTTTATTATCATTGAACAACTCTGAAGTGTCCATTTTCAAAACCTGTAGACTGCTGTGCCTGCAAGCTCCCTTGTTTAATTCTTCTGCAGTGACTTCCTAAATCAGCTCAACTTTCTCTCAAGCTGTTCTTCATCTTGCTTCTCAATAGGCTTGCACACCTTTTGTGTCTGCAGTCTCCCACAGGACAGTTTTGGTGGATGCAAGGCATGGGGGAGGCTGATGGTTGATGGTAGCTGGAGAAAGTGAAGAAAGGAGGGAACCCTCCACAGGAAGATGAGGCTGAGGGCAGGGCATATAGCTGGAAAGGATAGAAAGCAGCTGGAGGGTGGACTTTGCTCACCATTTCCTTCACTGAGTGCCTAAGATCATGCTTGGTTATTTTATTTCTCCTGCAGTGGTTCCTGTGCCTCAGGAAAAGTGGTTTCTCTGCGCTGCATAGGTAACTCACTGGCTTTTTCAAACTTCTGCTTCTCTGGGCTTTGAAATGCTCTGGTTGGCAAATCCTTTTGGACCTGTGGCATTAACTGCACTTTTTGCATGGGCAAATGATTTATCTCTGGTTCCCAAATAATGCAGCTTTAGGAGCAGGGTGGGAGAGGAGACAAGGACGACAGTGGATCCCCGGTTGCTTTTGTCTTTGCTGCCACCGGTTCCTTTAAAAGACTTGTGGTGAAGCTCCATATCTGTCCCCAGCAGCTGTGTTGGGATGTCTGTGACACATTTGCTCTCCAAGATTCAGCAATCGGGTGGGCAGTGCCTTCTTGGTGGTGATCCCTGTCCTGAGCAGTGTCCTGGCTGCTGCTGCACAGCACAGAGCTGTCTGAATTGCCAGAGATTCCTGAAAGGAGTGAAGAGTTTATGGTGAACCGAGGGCAGCAGCTGCCAGCTGGGGTTTGCAATTTAACGGGGGTCTGGGCAGTGGCAGATCTGGGATTTGGTGTCAGGGCAGGGCTCTGAGCTGTGGTGCATCCAACAGGTCAGACACGGTGTGTGCACCCCTCTCTCTGCCAGGGAAGCCTGAGTTGCAGAATCCACCTCCCAGCTGACTCTCTGATAAACCTCTGTGTGTGTGACTGACCTTTCAGAGTGTGGCCTGTCCAGCAAGAGTGTGAGCATCATGAACAGGATCGTGGGTGGCAGCGGGGCCGTGCTGGGGCAGTGGCCGTGGCAGGTCAGCCTGCACGTGCAGGGCACCCACGTCTGCGGGGGCTCCATCATCACCCGCCACTGGATTGTCACAGCAGCACACTGTGTGGAAGGGTGAGCCCCTCTCTCCATGGCTCTCTGCCTTTCTTCAAGCTGAAATGCAGAAATTTTATTCAATTCTCTCCTTTCAAACTGGATTCCTCCCCCCCACCTGACGTGCAGGTGCTCGGTGCAGTATTTTGTCCGTGAAGGAAATTTGAAGTATTAAGGGAAGATTCTGGGGGAGGCTGGCTGCAGCTCATCTGTCTGCTTTCTACAAGAAGCCTTATTTTATATTTTATATTTTGTCTTATTTACAAAATGAAATGGGTGATGTTGAGCACAGATACCCACCCAATTTAAGATGTAAACTCAAGGCACCAAATTTAATGCCAGCCAGTACAATGTTTTCATGAAGATGTTGAATTACACTGTGAGAAAACCCAAAGGAAATTCCACCCCTGCCTCCAAATTCTCAAATATCACACTGCTGTAGATACGATCAATTTAAAGATGCCTGTGCCATTTATTTCTTCATATCTTCTTGCCACAGGGTAGTAAAGTCCAAGTCAGTATTAAATACAGATTTATATCTATCCAAGGAGCACTTTATGTAGCCATCAACAAGAAAAATAGCTGGTGCTTTGTACATTTTTAACCTATAAAAGAGAGTTGAGGGTTCTGTGGTACCCTCAGAAAGGGCAGAATTTGTTTAAAAGGTGGCTGCTTCTGTTGGAGGGAAAACCCACAAAGCAAAAACATTTTTAAATGTTGGTTGGCTGGATCACAGTTTGAGACTAAGGCAAGGAAGAATATTTGTCCTTAACCTTGAGAAAGGAATGCAAGTGTTGATTTCTACCTGGAGATCTTATCCCTCCTTTGTTGTCTGGATTTGAGCCCTGTAGTGTGCAGAAGCTTTGGGAATGGGAACCAAGCTGCAGCTGGCACAAACCTGGTTTTCAGCCTGATCTGGGGTTTTTTTTGGAGCTGGGGTGACTTGCAGGCACTACTGCCTTGGTGCTTCTCATGGAGGGAGTTTGAACACTTGTGGCAGGTTTTCTGTTAAGCTTTTGCAAACTGTGCTGGAGCACAAGAGGCTGCTTAAGTAACACCTAGCAAGTGTGCTTAATATAAAAAAAAAACCAAAAAAAAGACTCAAAACCAGCCTAAAAAAAAGCCCAAAAAACCCCTGGCATTTTCAAGATAGTGAAATTCTTTCACCAGATCATGTTTTTACTAATTCTGGCTTCTGCTGATACCACTGACATGTGAGACTTCAGAATTACCTGCCTGATCCCTCAGTCATGGAAATCAAAGGGCTTCAGTGTCGCAGTCTCAGACTTAATTTGTTGTGCTGAGTGATTAAGGGGATGGACAGTGATACTTAACCCACTGCAAAGATTTTTTTGATACATTATTGAAACTCTAGCCAAGCTTTCCTCAAGTTACATGTCTGGCAATTTGTTTGTCTTATTCTTCAAAAATAGTAGTCAGATGCATGTGCGTTTTTGGCCACACAAATATTTGACTACAGCTCCTGAAGACAATTTTTTGCAGGTCCTAATCTCTGTCTTGTCACCAGAGAAGAAATCCTTCATGCTTTTTCTTTGTTCTGTAGGCGATTTTCTGACCCACAGAGCTGGAGGGTTTATGCTGGCATTCTGAATCAGGATGAGATGCTCTTTAGAAGTGGATACAGAGTGCAACAGATAATTTCTCATCCAGATTATGACACAGACTCTAAAGACAACGATGTTGCCCTTATGAAGCTGGAGACACCACTGAGTTTTACTGGTAGGTATTCTGTTCTTCTTAAGGGAAAAATCCAGTGGGCAGTGAGCACACCTTTTAAAACTTCTGAATTTCATCAAGCAATTCTTGTAGAGACTTATTGGAAGAACACAAAATGACCCTAGAGACAGGGTATAGAGACAGAGGGCACAGCATCTGATTTCCTAAGCAGGATTTATTTAAATCTATTGCATGGGTAGGTACTTTTATCTCAGAATGCTCTACAGTTTAGCCACTGCTGTATGTGCAGACATCTACAAGTGCAGTGGTGGAGCAGCTGATTAAATCCCAACTCAAGTCAGGTCAAATGATTGTCAAAAAACCCTTCCAAACTCAGCATTACAAGAAGTTCCTTTCATGAAAGCAGATGTAGGTTGTTTGTAAGCAATCAGTGCAAAATAGAGAACAAGCCATTATTTAAACTTGAAGTGCTTTTTGTGTACAGGCCCTTTGTGTTTCAGTGCATCAGTTTAAAGCTACCAGGAGTAATCTGAAAGGGATTTTCTGCTGCTGAGAGCAGGGAGATTGTCTGTTCTGGTGCTGCACACTTCTTGTGTATAACAGTACTGAATCCTGCTTGTCTTGTGATTATTTTCAGCAGAGTTTTGCAAAGAGAATGCAGAGCTGTAGTTTTCAGAATTTTTTCTTTGTCTTCTGCTGCTCAGAGAAGCTGGTGTTAATTGTTCTATTTAACCTGATGAATTAAGGTAGAACCATTACCTGTTTGTTCCTCATTTTGAGGTGAAGATCAGTCAGGCAGATTTGAGGTGAAGATCAGGCAGATTTGAGGTGAAGATCAGGTACCCCTCAGGGAAAGGGCAGCTGGGAAACTTTCTGCTGCCTCCTGCATTATCTGCCTGCAAAGAATGTAGAGTACAGAGGGAATGCATGATGTGTTTAAATTTATTTTGCTTTCTGCCTGGACATTGGTTATTCTGTTTGTTTTGCAGAAACTGTGAGGCCAGTTTGTCTGCCCAATCCAGGAATGATGTTCCAGCCTAACCAGCAGTGCTGGATATCAGGATGGGGAGCAGAGTACCAAGGAGGTAAAAAGTACTTCTGGAATATTTTGATTTTTTTCCATAAACTAGTCCTCTTCATCCTGTGAATATTGTTGCATGGGCTGATGGGGCAGTTTGAATTAGATCTGTTCATACACTATTTTTTCACCCATTTTACAGCCCCCAATATTTACCCAGGGCATTCTGTCTCAAAGCAAGCTGTGATGTGTTGCATTCAGCAGACTGCAAAGGACCCTTAGATCAGTACTGAGGGCCAGAAATTCCCAACCAGGAGATAATTCTCTGCCCCTGCTGGCAGGAGCTGCTCCTTTCTACCACCTCAGGCTGAAGTAGAATGATGAAAGAAAATTTGCAAGACTGGAAAAAGGAGAGGGAGGAAAGGGGTTTTATTTGTACATAAAGGCACTGGGAGAAGTCCTGTTGACCTCTTCTTAAATCTTAAATTTCCATCCTGCTGCTTCTAGGAAGTTTAAGTAAACGTGATGCTTATTCTGACTTTGTCTTTGCATGTTTGTGCATATTTAAATCCCAGGTAAAACATCAAATAACTTGAATTTCGTTGCGGTGCCCTTAATAGAACGTTCAAGGTGTAATTCTGTTTATATCTACAATGGCATGATTCTGCCTACAATGATCTGTGCTGGAGACCTAGCAGGGGGAATTGATTCCTGTCAGGTAATTATTCCTAATTAATAGCTAATAATCTGATTATTTTTGTGGCCTTGCTAGTAGGCTGGCTATGTATGTATGTATGTATCTAATCTAATTTAATCTAATCTATCTATCTCAAATAAATTCTGTGCCCCCCCAAAATTAAAAATTTGCATTACATCTGGTTGGGCTTCTGGTTCCTTTGGTGGTGCATCCCTTTAAAGAGGAGAGCTTTTGTTTCATTGCCTGAACTGCTGCCAGTGCTGAGTTCTCACTGAATTCCCAAGGAGGGTGAGGCTTCTTTTTAATGCTTCAAGGATGGTTTGTTACCTGGTACCTGAAAGTGATCAAATGCTCCTCATAACCACAGCATTATTATCATTATTGTGTTATTAATCACAGCATTGTGCTTGTAAACAAGACAGTCAATAATGCCAATCTTACTCAGAGGGCTCTGGGCAAATTATTTTCATCCCTATTGGAAGCAGACATCATTTAACACCAGAATTGCCAGCATATCTTGTTTTAGTGACTCCCTAAATGGCAGGCAGGTTTATATTGGGCCTGAAGCTGTGTTCCTGGAGTGAAATGGGTCGGGTTTTTCCTGGCTGCTGTGTCACTGACAAGGTGTTTGTGTGCCATGCAGGGTGACAGTGGAGGTCCTCTGGTGACCCACCACCACTCGGTGTGGTGGCTGGTTGGAGATACCAGCTGGGGCACTGGCTGTGCCACTCCCAACAAACCTGGAGTCTACGGGAACATGACTGTGTTTACAGACTGGATTTATAAAAATATGCAGGTAAAATATTTGGGGTTTTTCATAAATTTTAAGGCCCCACATCCTGAAGTGTGGGGCCTTAATAAATGTGACTTGCATGGTAACAAAGCTGTTGTGTTGGGAAACATCCAAGTGATTGTTAAAACAGAACCTGAACCTTTGTTTTCTGTTTTGTTTTGTCTTTAAAACAGGCAAACAGATGACAACACTCTCCTTGCCCATCGATGTTCCTGAGGACAAGAATTAATGAAGCCATGGGAGCCTGGGATATTTATTCACTCTGTGGTTGATTTCATCTCTCCTCTTTGATTTTTCTTTTTAAAAGTAACATGAAGGATTGCACACTTGGTTCTGTGCTGGCTACAGTGACGGATCTTAATCAGTGAAGGATTATCACAGTGAGCACCTTTCCTCTCCTTGTGGTGCCTGGCAGAGTCATTCTGTGAACTGCTTCCTGAAATTTCTCTCTTTTGTTGAGTAACTTTTGCTTGATGATCAGGCTTATAATGACAATTTAAATCACGATTTAATTTCAGATTTTCCTAGCAGGATGCTGAGACAGTTGGTTTAGTAGTTTTTAAATTAAATGTTAAGCAATGTGAATGTTGAATCTCCGAGCTGCTGGTTGGCAATTTAAAAGGAAATGAATGTTTTTTTTAGTATAGAATTACAAAATGGTTTGGGTTGGAAGGGACCTTAAGGATCATCCAGTTCCAACCCCTCTGCCATGGGCAGGGACACCTCCCAGTATCCCAGGTTGCTCAGAGCCCCATCCAGCCTGGCATTAAACACTTCCAGGGATGGACCATCCTCAGCTTCCCTGGGCAACCTGTTCAGTGCCTCACTATCCTCACAGGGAAGAACTTCTTCCTAAAATCTAATGTAAATGTGCCCTCTTTCAGTCTGATGTCACTGCCCCCTGTCCTTTCACTCCATGTCCTTGTCCAAAGTCCCTCTCCAGCTCTCTTGTAGGCCCATTAGGGACTGGAAAAGGTGCTGAGGTTTCCCCAGAGCCTTCTCCAGGCTGAACAAGCCCAGCTCTCTCAGCCTGTCTCCATAGCAGAGGTGCTCCAGCCCTTGGAGCTCCTTTGTGGCTCTGGACTCGCTCCAAGGGCTCCATGCTGGAGATCCCAGAGCTGGATGCAGGATTCCAGGTGGGGTCTCAGGAGAGTAGAGGGTGAGAAATATATATGAAGGGAACTTTTCATGCACTACAGTCCAGGCACAGAAAATAAAATAAATATATACATATACTGTATATTCAGGTAGTTAAAAATCCTCAGGATCTCAACACAGCCGTCAATCAAAGCCAGGCTTTGCAGTCTGGCTGCCTCAGACCTTACAAAAAGTGCTGTTCTGCCTTAAGCTGCTCTGAACCCAAAGTGGGCACTTTGTGGATGTGGGATTTGGGCAGGGATGTCCCAGAGCTGCAGCAGGAGCAGTCTCAGTGCTGAGGTCCCTGGCTGAGCACACTGAAGGTGACTCTGGAGCTGTCCCTGCTGTTGAAGGCAAAGGGCAAATGTTTGCAGGCAGGCTGTGCTGCCCCTGGAGCTGCACACACAGACGGGATGTTTTGTACAAGGAAACACAAAGCTGCGTTTCTGCAGGACGAGATGAACTACCTCATTTGTTAAATCTGGCTTCTGATTCCTTACAGCTCTCCTTTACGTGTCTGCCTGAATGTTTTTAGCAAAATGTTAATTCCAATCCGAGTGCCACCTGAATGAGGGTTTTGAAAATAATTTATGATCGTGGTAGAGGATCAAAAAGCCATATCAAGTCACTTTGTTAAGAAGGATAAATCTTTATTGAATGAAATTACTCCACTAGTCTTGTTTTCTCTTTTGGTACTGAAATGCAATTATCTTACATGTAAACACTGCACCAAATAAATTGTTTTCTTTTTTTTTTTTTTTTAACAAACACTTTTTTTTAGTCGTGCTTTATATCTGTTTACCTGGATTTATTTTTTTTTTTTAAGCAGTTGCTGGATTCAGTGTACGAAGTGCTTTGAGTGTCTAATTAAAAAAATCAAAACCAAGAGCAAACAAACAAAAAAAGGAGAAAAGCAACTCAAGAGGGTGAGCCAAGAGATTATTTTAATTCTGATATTTCAGGTCCTTGAACAAACCCAGGGAAAATAGAGCAAGATGTCCAGGAATGCTGAGTGTCTTTGGTGGCTGTGTCTGATGAAATGACTCTGAGTTAATTGAATTAAATAAGGAAGTTTAGCCTGCAGGCAGTGGCTTGAGGGAGTCACACCCTATTTTGTCATTCTGCCTCTTGCTGCCTGCAGCAATGTGTCCTTGTCTCTCCAGGTGTGAGATGGGTGTGTTTTCAATTGCATTTGTGCATCAAATGCCCCTTGGGGGATGGGGGGATACCGAGAAATAACCAAGGAGTTTAAAGTACCTTCAAAACAGAAATTAAAAGGTTGAGTTGTTACAGGTATGAGGCACATTTTCTGTGGCTCCTGACCTGCAGCATTGCAAGTCAATAATAGCAAAATAATGTAGAAGAAAGGGGTTCTACAAGGTTAAGGAACATGGATGTTGGGGTGAATGCTGTACAAAAATGTATCAAAAAAAAATACCCACTGCAGTTCCATGCCTCAGAGACAAACACTTTCTGTCATAGCTGCCCTGAGGGGAAGGCTTCTCTTGTAAGAAACCTGGAAATTCCTGCATCACACACTGGTATAAAGCACATTTTTTCTAGCTGAATGCAGGCATTACTTTTGGTGCTTTTGGTTATTAAACCAAATCTCCCCTGTGAAAGGTGTCATAAACACAGTGTGTGATCTATTTTGCATCGGCTTCCATGAAATGGAAGAACTTTTGGAAAGGCTCTCCTTGCCCTGCGGAGGAAAAGGAGGAAGGCAGCAGAACACATGAGACACCTGTGTAATGTTTAATGTCCTGGAGGTTTCTTTCCTTTTGGACATCTAAATCCTGCCCTCTAGTGAGTTCAGTGAGTTCTAGTGTCAGTCCCAAAATTTCAGGTGATGCTGCAGACATCTGAGACATCCTGGCTCTTCTGCAAATCAGACAGCTGGGAAAGGAGACTGAACAGAGCGAATGACATCCTCTGGTCACATAAATTAAATAAACTTTCCTTTCTTTCTAGACTGGGATGGTTTCACACCCACTGTGTTTGCAGAGGTGTCTTTTAGGTGATGGCAGGAAAGAGAACAACCCCAGCAAGACCAAAACACAAAGGGGAGATCATGAGTGTCGTGCACTAAGCTTCACTGAGGAAAGCTAGATAATTTGATTTCTACAGTTTGTGAATTATACAGCTTCCATCATAAAAAGAGGAAAAAACTCAACAAACCCCAACAAAACATATAATCCTCAGTGTGTTAGCTTTTTAATAATTATTCCAGTGGTTGCACAGAGTTTATAAAGAAAATGTTTAAACATGAGATAATGTTTATTTAATCACAACTCTACCAGTGGAACTCTTTATGCAAAGGCAGCTGTTTGCATATAACTGATTATGAAAAATAAAGAAAAACTGAACACTAGAAATTATTATTAAAGGTCTGGGCTGATATCACATTTTTATGGGATTATATTAAATTCTTTAGGAGTGCTAGAAGATAAGGAGCAAAAAAACCTCATGAAAAACAAATTACAAGAGGCGGAAATCTCTCAGGTACTGGCAGGCTGTGGTCAGACGATCGATTCTTTGGCTGAGGTAATTCCTGGTTTTAGCAGCTTCAGTGTCCTCATCAAGGAGAAAGTTTAACCTCTCTTTATCTTGTAACAGTTGCAGCATTGAGGTCTGCACATTTTCTCCAAAGTCATGAAGGACAGAAGATATGATGATCAGAGGTATCTGGTTGGAGAGGCGTTTACTTGCTCCCTGCAAGATGGGGGGAAAAAAAGGGCAAAATACTAAATTGGTAAAAAAAAAACCAAAAGGGCTATAGGTAATCTGGTAAAAAAAGTGGTTCCAAGGTTTTGAAATGTTGAACTGAGTTACTGTTCAAGAAGAGAGTACTGCTATGAACTAAAAAAATGTTTGCAACCAATGTCTTTTATGCCTGAAATAGAAAAAGTAATCATTTTTTGATTTGAGTCACGGGGATATCAGCTGTTGCTTCTCTTGCCTCAGCAAACTAAAGCCAAGGCAGGCTGTTCTCTGCTCAGCTCTGCCAGCTGTCACTGGGACAACTTAGAGGGGGACATTCCTGACAAACAGAACTTGTGCACAGTTCCTGGTGTCCAGCTTCACTGAATGCTAACAATAGGTTTTGATGCAGGAAATCAGAAAGTGATTTTTCCTAAAGCTGGTAAATTCCTCTGTTAGATGGTATTTCTGATGTGATTCTTTTAAGTTTCAGACAGCTTTGGAGGAAGCTTCAGCCTTAAGGGGAAATGTCTTCAGCAGTAGAGAGACCAGAGTGCCTACATTACATTTATTAGTATCTCCATGAGCTATCTTCTATCTGACCTGACCAACTGCCTAGTTGATTTGTGGATGCAAACTGAAACAGGTTGACCCAGAAAAGCTTGTGGGGCCCTTTCCCCATGGACATCCACAGGGTTTGGGGGCCCACCTGGTGCTTTTGGGCACCATGAGGTTCTAAACCTCTCCCAGCTCTGGCAAGTGGCTGCCTCCAGCCCTCCTGGTGCTGGGTGAGCACTTAGACACAAGTGCCTGGTTGCAATTGAGAGCTTCTGCCTTTCCTTTTTGTAGTATGACTTGAAAATGGCATTTATAAGGCAGCCATGGACACTTAAGGGCTTCCATCTCATTCAAACTGTATTTGGCCTTGCACAAGTCAGTCCCATGGGGCTATGATGCCCTGGCACTTGGGGTTTGCTGAAAATGGCTCCCAGGGCATTTACAAAAATATTTAACTGCAGATAAAACATGTAGCAGAGTGTGTAGCAAGATGGGATGGAAGTGCTTATGCACTTCAGGCTTTGTTTCCTGTTCTAAGAAAGCCAATGATTTTTTCTTCATCAGCCTGAGCAGCCTGGCCATTTAATTGCAGGAATTTGTCACAAAGCCTGCTCTTGGAATTCAAAGTGAGCTGCTACCTACCTTCCTGAATTATTAATATTGAACTTGTTGCTTTCAGAGAGGGTTTTATGACTAAGCAAATCTTGATAGTGTGTGTTCTCTTTTCTGTCTTTCTTTAACATGATCCTTTATTAAAACACCCCATTTGTCTTCAGAGACTTCACTTACACGGTGCTATCTGCAATACAGCAGATGCACTCTGATCTCTACAGCCAGCTGATATATTTTAATGTAACATTTTGTCATTGCTCCTCCTGCTGTAGTAGTTCAGGATCTGACTGTAAGCCACTGCCACCGCTTTCTGCTGCCTGCAGAAGTGTGCAGAGTGGCTTGGGGCTGACCTGAGCCAGACTGGCAGGTAGCTAACAAGTGCTTTAGGAGCCAGCTGTCACTTTGGCCCCTTCAGGCTTTTCTAATCACCATATCCTGAGTCCTGCAACCTGCTGATACACCCCACACTCATCACTGCTCAGAAGCTCCAAGAAGTTTGTACAGAAGCTGAGCATGTAGCTGAATGAGACACTTAGCCAGCCCCTGGCTCTTCCCTCCACAGTGCCAGTGGCATACAAGGCTGGACTGACTCCAGCAAGACCTGGCTGAGGGGAAGCTGCTGTAGCATTCAGGGAGCAGCAAATCTGCTCCATCACAGCCTGTAAACTCACAGAGAAATAGGCACTGGTGTGAGAAACCATCTCCGTGGCAACAGAGGGCTCCTCTAGACCAACAAACTTCAGATTTGTCCCCAGGGATGCTTTTGGAGCGTTTTCTGCCTTAACAGAGTTTAAATCACCAACGTAAAGGTCATCCTGGCAGTACACGATCCTCTCCATTTTAAACTGTGTCCGGATCTGTCTTTCGGCCTCTGCTGCTTGATTCTCCCTAATGTCTTCAATTTTCATCTAGAAAAGAAAGGAACAAGAAGTTCTGAGACATTTGCTTCCTTTGGGAAGGTGCCAGTGGCTCAGCAGCGTCCCCAGGGAATGGCAAGGTGGGCACAGTGTTTAACTGCCCTTGTGCAGCACTGTCTGATCTCAGAAGATGGGAACATGGAGTAATGGTTCAGATTGTGGTGCCTCTGTTGTGAAAGAGCAGGAAAATGTGGCAGTTTTGTCCTCCCCTTACACACAAGTGGAATCAGTCCAAACCTGGTGCTTGAAACCCAAAGGAAAATATCTGTTGTCAGCAAACCAACCCCATCTAACCCCTCTCTGGTGCTTTTATTCCAGCCACCTGATGCTTTGTGGCCTTCTAAAAGTCTGTGGGGGTGGCAAAGTTCCCTCAGATATGTTCAAATTACCTCAAAATGCTTTCCTAGCATCCCTAAGAAAACACCCCATCTCTTTTCTCAAGTCCAGTGCTTGCCAGAACTTCTTCCCTCTTCATTCCTCTCACTGTGGAGCTCTCTAAAGACCCTGCCTGAACACCTCTGTGTTTGGATGAAATAATTTATTTCTTCACTGTCTGGCTGGCCTGGGAGCTCAGTAGGGTTTGACCATGCAAGTGAAAGAGCAAACCACCTATTTCACTCACATTTGCCTCTGAGTTTCCTTTTTCAGCAGTACCCTGTGAGTGGACTTCCAGCTTTGCTTCTCATCTTTTTCTCAAAGCTTTTTCTGAGAAAAGGCCTTCATGGATCCATATCACTGAACTCTACCCCAAAATATGTTAATACCCAAACTGTAAACAGCCATTTCTGGCTTTTTCATGGCTGGATGATTTTTGGTTTGTCTGCCCCTGCTCCCTTTCATCAAAGATGAGATTCCTGCACTGGTTAAAACCCTGGCTTGCTTTCAGAGAGGTGAAAAACACCTAAAACCAGTTCAGCACTCTCACAAATCACTGCAGCACTTAAATCTGAAATTAATGATAAACTCTTCAAAGCAGCCACACCAGGTTTTCTTTGCTTTGTGTTGCAAATGTCAGGAATGAATAAAGAATGTATGTACTAGATCTTGTCAAAGCTGTACAAAATGCACTTTAATTAGTGGCATTATAACCATGCTATCATTTTTGGGATCTTTCTTATTTTCCTGCAAGAAATTCCCCACTTGCACAAGGGTAATGCAGTGAGGCAGGTACCATAAGCATGGATGTATTTACAAATGCCATTCTGTCTTTTGAGAATATCAGATTGTAGGTAGTGCCTCACCTTGGCAACTCTGCTTAGATTGTGAAAATTAGCAAAATTCTTGTTAGTAAGTTCCATAAATTTCTCTTCAACCAGTTCTAGGGGAAGAACAGAGAGACAAAATAAAGTCAGGTAAGTAAGTGAGGGTTTTAAGCTGTTGTTAATATGACACTTGGGAGACTACTCATTTTCTGTATTCATTCAGAAATAGCTGTGCTGCTGTACTGGTGCACTCTGCCTTTATGACACATACAAACAAGTAAAAATTCAGATTTCCAGGTCCAAGAAGGTGACCACTTGGCACCAGATGCTTCTGCTGTCCTGTTTCCTTGCTGTGTTATTTATGATATAATTATTTTCTACCTCCCTTCCAAAAGCCACTGGGAAAAGTATTAATAGATGCTGGAGACAGTGTGTAGAGATTGAAGGCTCTAGAGAAGGAGCAATCCACAAGCTGAATCAGATTTACTTCCACACTCTGAAGGACCCTGAGAGCATCAGTGAGAGCATCAGCTTCTCCTGGAAAATAAAGCTGTCAAGCCCAGCAGTGTCCCCCACACCAGAGCCTCCCATGGCCTGGGCCATACTCATCACATTGTTGAGAATCTCAATTGCTGGCTCCTCCAGTTCTCTGATCTGCTCTTTTACAATATCCTCAAAAGTCCTGTAGTTGCTGAAGCCTGGGAACTCCCGTCCACGGTACTGGTCTTCGTATTTCCACACTCTGTCAGGGACAGCTTTTTTAGCTGTAATGGTAAAATAACATTATTTTGTTACTAAATCACTCAATGGATGCACTTCAGGTTTAAGAAGGAAGTCTGTTTCTCATCTTTGAGCTGTTCTTGAGGGTAAAAGGTACTGAGATGATTTTTTGTTACCACAGAACAGAGCTAGCTTGTTGTTGCTCTCTGAATGAGCCATCTCACACATTGCATCAAGCATCTGACTGACAGAAATTATAATGGACCACAAAAATTCTGGTTCTTGGTATTTTTACCATTTTTCACTTTTTCATGGCCAGAAGTGGCTGGCCATTACCAGTCACTTCCAAGTTAAAAAAAAAAACTGAACAAAACAAACCCCCAAGCTCACTAAACATATTTTTCCAGGGAATCTACTGTTGACTAGTTATTCCTATTTATTATCACAGTCAATATTTCTTTGTTGATATTATATAAATTTGCTATTTTTTTTTATGAGGTATCACCTTAGCCCAGAGCTAAAGTGGAACAAACCCCACTCAGATTCTAAAATATTAATAGCAATAATAAATTAAAAACATTAAGAGTAATAATAAAAATTATTATCTAGACTGTTATTATTTATGATTATTCATTGGTGTTGCTGTTATTTAGAAGAATGGTTCAGAAAATCACCAACAAATTCTATGCCAGTGTCTTGATTTTATTGCTGTGCTGGGAGAAGAGAGGTAAGTACTGACCTCTCTTTAATGACAGCATTTAACAACAAACTGTGTCCCCAAAACACCACAACAGATGGATGCTCCTGCCTTCTTACTCTTAATTTTCTTGAAAAACATTTACTGAAGATGCTGTGTCTAGGTTTAAATAAAGGGGATGGGCTCTTGTTGGGGTCAGAACACAGAAAATAGACCCTTATCTGTGGTGCCTGGCTCTGAGACCCAAGGGAGCACTGAGTTTAGCATAACACCATGGAGACAGCTTTTAAAGTTAAACAGAAAAACTGGGAATGTGAGTGTGTAAGTAGACATTTTTCTTAAGTCACTGGGTGAGAATGAGTTTAGGGTTTAAGCTATATTAGAAAATAAGAGACAAGATGGAGGATTTAGGGCACTGTCCCTTTCTCCTTCTTCTTCATCTTCTTCTAAGGGTTTTTGGGTAATAATGAGTGATTGGATAGAAAATCTGCAGTGCAGCACACAGGTGTCAGGTCACTGGGTCACTAAGAAAATTTTGATAATTGGATAAATAGACACATAAAAGACCTTGGAGAGGTTCTTTGCTCTCCATTTTGCACCTTGCTTCCCCAGTGTATATAGCTCCTTGTACTCTGTAGATATGTAATATAGATAAGAAAGAATAGACAATTGAGCCAGAATATGAGAAAACAAGTCTCTTCCTGGGAAAAAGAACCCATCCACCAGTGTCACACCCTGCCAGGCTCTGTGCTTACCCTTCGCAGCACACTCCAGGAGGATCACGCCCCACGTGCGGAATTCCTTGCGGATCCTGGTGAACAGTCTGACCTCATCTCCAAACAGCTCCTCCTCTCCCCGAATGGTCCGACAGATGTCTTGGTTAAAGAGTTTGATCAACTGCAGTGAATCCAGCAACAAGCAGGCAATTTAGTGAAGTTTCATTTCTTCAGACTAATTTGTGGATGTTAAGCAAATCTGCAGTTGTTTGATGATAAAGCAGGGACACGGTTCATAGAAAACATCCCTTTCTTACATATTTTATGCTCTTAGCTCCTGGTTTGTTTGGGTTTTATTTTTTTCCCCCCCAAACTCTCATTGCTAGAGGAGAATAAACTTGATACTCTTTTGGTTTTCCCCCTGTAGACTTTTAGAACCATTCACTAAATTTTAATAGGCCAGGCTTGTATGAAGCCTGATGAACTTCCATAAACACCTCTAATGCCTACTGAGGGCTTAATCAGGGAGTAATTCCCTGAGATGAGGAACTCAGAAGATGGACTTGCAAACCACATTTGGATATCAGGAATACCTTTGATCTTATGAGTGCTGTAAAAAATGGGAACCCTTCAAAGTGTTGAGCAGGCAGGAGTTTAAGTTTTCCCTTGCTGAGATGCTTGATTTTGATCCAATCAATCAAGTTGTTTAGCTTTCTTGTCCCATAATCACAGGAAAAAAATTGCTAGAAGGGGCCAGGAGCTCCTGTGGTGTATTATTTTTGCAAGTGTGGTTTCTCTGTTACCCTCACTGAAATGATGGAAACCACAAACTTCCTGGTGGTCCATGCTGAAGTTTTGATAAGTTCAGGTGGTTTCTTTTTCTCCCACAGTTACTTTGCCTTGCTCTGTGACCAATACTGATACTTACATCTGTGAGGAAAAACAGCTTCTCAGACTCAGTTTGGGGTGTGCCTCTCTTGTACCTTTGCAGATCCTGTAATGTTTTATGCAGGGTGTCACGAATTTGGCTCTGCAGTGCTGGCAAAGATTTCTGGGGAGGAGACAGTGAAGAAGGAAATTGAGATAGGTTGAACCTGTCTGGTTTTGGAAGAAAAACAAAATCCCTCTAAGAGTAACCTACACCTGCAAGGGATCTTTGCTGTTTCTATAAATCTGAGAGCTTGCTGTCAGTGTACCATGTGTGATAGGGGGGCAACATGGAAGAGAAAATATGGACTTTATTGAGGGAATGCAGGAGCCAGAATCTCCCTGAGGGATCAGGCTGGACCTCACTGAGAGCTGGGAAGAATAGCTGCAGTCTAGGGCAAGATTTCACAGTGAGCCAAAAACAATGTCCTCACAGGTTGTGCCAGGAGAGTGATGACTGCTCAATTCCTGATAAATACCTGATGGAACATGGCTGTTTAGTTGCTTATTTTCTGTAAATTTACATATTTTTTTTTTTCTCCTCTGAGACTGAATTTAGATGTTCCCTGTATTTTAGCCTCTTCTCTTAATGGAATAAGATATATTACATACAGATATATTTATACCAAATAAAACCCCCCCAATATCCTTACATTAGAATATAAATATAATAGAACACCTGGATGTTCTGAAGACATTTTCAGCAACTTGTCACCCAGGTGATCAACACTGATAAAAAGAAATATCATGGCTGCTGTTGAAAAGGCAGGAATTATGAGTCACAAATAGATGAAATAATTTGCTTATTGTTGATCTGCAGTTAAAAGGCAAATCTGAGGACAGAGCATGGGGCTTTTTACCTCTGCCTCTCAGTCCTGTTTGTTCTCAGAGCACTGAGTTGAAGGATCATTAAGCATACAAAGATGAAATCCAGCTGCAGTCCAAGGTTGAAGGGTTGAACTTGTTTTTAGCTAGTAACTGACACAAACAGCTCAGTATGGCACCTCTGTTACTTACAATAATGTGTTTCACAAGTTCATTTGTGAGCTTCTCTGCCAGACGGGGGATAGTAGCCTTTCCTTCTTCCAGAAGAGCCCTGGGAAATAAAAAAAAAGGAAAAGGTGTGTTTGGATAGCCAGGCTGTGCAGGGCAAGGAGGCAGCACTGATGCTCTGCCCTATTTTCACTAATTCTATTAAACAATTTGAGTAAAGAAAGGGTCTCTGGGCCATGCTGGTGCAGATGTGGCAACAGCTCAGGACTCTCTGGGCACGTTTATTCAAGAGTTGCTTGACAGCTACTGACTGAGCAAAGGGAAACAGAGAAAAATCTGAAAAAAACAAATTCTAACAGCAGCTGATTGCACTATTTTATTATTTCTTCATGTGTGAAGTTCACTGATTCAAAACCCTTGTCAGCTGCCAGTCTCTGTATTATGATTGATTTGCTGCTGATGCTGCTGAGTCATCTGGGCAGCCTGTGCCCTCAGCACAGCCTTTCTCATGCTGTTCCTCCATGCTTTCCAGTGAACAGAAATACTTCAGTGCCTGACTTGAAGTGCTCAGATGCTTTAACTCGAATTCTCTGGGACTATTCAGAAATTCTGAAGTTCATAGCACTTCCCCCATGTATTCTGCAGCCAAAAAAAAACAACCCCAAAATAGACAAACCAAAAAAAAAAAACCATTTTGAAAAAGTTTGGTATGTAAAAACCATCTGGGTTACTGAAACACAACCCTACATGGGCAATGAGAAATACTGAGTATAACTAATACCTGTTTGTAACCCCTTAGTTGAATCTTAGCAAATCAACAGGAAGCTCTGAGGTGACTCTAACATGTTGAACTTTTCCGTGAGGAGTACCTGAAATATTTGTGATTCTCAAAGAAGCTTCTCTCCGTTGGATTGCAGCAGCCAAGGTGAGTTTGTTGTGGATGTCCTGCTGCCCACGGCACCTCACGATCATGTAGCCTTTTTTGAGGGGGATTACCCTGTTTTGCAGTATGCTCACGATAGCCTCCTCGGTCCCCCTGTCCACCAGGTCAGGTTTTGTGAGGATTCCTGTGAAATTAAAAGAGAAAGTTAACCACCAAGCAGGAACACTCTGTGTTTTATAATGCAATTTTTTTGGGTATTCTCTCCCCTAGAAAGCTCTCAGTTCCTGGGCTGTAAAACTCACCCTGCATTTGGCCTCCTACCATGCCTTTTGCATTGCAAACCTTTTTTTAACAAACCTTTTTTTAACAAAGCTTTTTTACCATTAACTTCAGATCAACTACCATTAACTGGTAGTTACTACCATTAACTGATTTCAGCTTCCAGTTATTTGTAACAAGAGTGCCAGCAAGACACCAAATGAAGGGATTATAGGAGCTGCTCAAAAATTGTGACTAGAAATACTTGCAAATATTTTCTTTAGGCTGTTTTCTTTTTTTCCCCTCTTCTTCTAGTAGCTAATTTCATAGATCTGGTGCAGAACACAGAACATCAGACCTCATGATGGGGGTGAAGATTTGGCCACCTTTTTAGCTCATAGTTTAAAAATTATCTCACCTATTGTCCTTTCTCCAGTGGGGTCCACCTCTTGAGCCATTTTCAATGCTTCTGTTGTTGCAATATCCACATTACATGGAACCACTACCAAATTCACTGTCTCTTTGCAGCCAATAGTTCTTCTAAGTAGCATTTTGATCTGCAATTCAATAAAGCAGTGAGGAGGTTCAGTGAAATCAGATGCTTGCTTGTAGGATGTGACAGTTTCTAGCAATATGAACCTAATGACATTAAATGCCACATGTGCTGAGGACAGTGTTACATGCTGGAGGATGGCATGGAAAGGGGTCAGCAGAAGAATACAGCCTCTTTCCTTATGTCAGGATTAATCCAAACATCTGGCATGAATGAGACCAGACTAATGTTGTTAAGCCTGTCTTGACAGGTACATGAATTTAACCTCTTGTGCATATATAATCTTTCATTATGGAAATATTAAAGGTATTTGATATCTAATCACATGGAAGAAAACCAGGTTCTGATATGTAGGTATCCACTTTTGGAAAGAAAGCAAGCTTGATTACACTGATAAATCTCCAATTTGTATCTTTGAAAGGAGCACAAATGTCTTTGGCTTCTATTTCAGTGGAATATTTGTAGGAAAAAGCGCCAAAACTGAAGCTTCACATGACATCTAGTTGTCATTTTTCTATGTTTCAATGCCAAACTAAACAAGTTCCTCATAATTTGTGTTGTTTTGCAGAAGCTTCACAGGGCACTATTACATTTATTCCACAGTAAATCAATTATCTTTTTCTCCCCCTGGATTTTGGGAAAGATGCTTCTCTTCTCTACTTCCCACCCATCCCAGTTTCTGACAGGCTGCAGTGCTGTAGACTCCATCTCTGGAGCATGCAGACAGCTGGGGACAATGGAAATGTTTGGATTTTATCACATTTGCTGTTTTCTTCTCAATACAATAGAAAGATTGCTATCTAAGTGTGCAATTAAATTACTCTCCTCCCAGAGAGGAAAGCCCAGACAATCCAATCTTGTCTCATTTCTGTTTGGAATATCTAGTTTCATTTGAGCTCCTCTTATTCCAAGTTCCCATTTAAAGGTGTTTTAGGAGAAACAACACACCCAGCTCCTACACATCAGCCTCACAGCAGGCCTTTTCCAATCAAAAGTTTTATTTGCATTCCCCAGCATTTCTTCTAAAAGCAGCCAGAGGAAGAGCAGAGATCCCCTCCACTTAGTCTGTTTACTTCACAAAGGGTCTGCTGGGACCCATTAAGGGCACAGACTGGCACATGAGGCTGAGTTTTACCTGGTCCCCGATGTCTTTTGGCTGGTCCCCCACGGCCACCCTGGCAATTCCAGGCAGATCAATTAGTGTCAGGTCTGGGACATCAGGGGACCGAACTTCCAGGGAAATTAACTGCCCACTAATGGCACCTCTAGGACCAGCCACAACATCCTGGGCTGTGAAGAGAGCAAGGCAATGAATACAAGCTTCAAATGATGCATCAAACCAAAGCTGAACACAAGGACTTTGAAAAGTACCAACTGCCACCTAAGGTTCTTTCAGGCTTGGCTTTTTCTTTCAGATCCAGCCACACACCTAAATCCATTTGTGCAAAAATCTAAGGAAATTATCATGCAGAACAAACTGATGTGATGTCAAAACAAAATGCATGTAAATAAACCATAATGAAAGGTATCAGGTAAAATACTGGTCAGTTGTAGAAATGTTCCCTCAACAACAAGAGACTTTGTAAGCATCAATTAATCCTTGGATGCCCTGAAAGAAAAATAGGTGTTGTTCTATATTCTTCACATTTTGATAGAGAGGTTGAGAGTAAATTGTCCCAGGTACTACAAGGCAATAAGGCTTAAACTGTGAACAGAGAAAAGCAAGGAAACTCCAGTCATTCTCAGGAGAGATTTTTCAGCTCTAATTACCTTACTTATTTCATACCAATTGCCTGGCCAGTTTTGAGAATATCCAAATAATGTATTGAAAAGCTAATTTAAAAAAATTAGGAAGAATAACAACGTGCAGAGCTGTGCTAGTCAAGGAAGTAAGGAGAATCCAACTTTCACACTTAGGACAAGTGCTTACTGCCCTTTGGGTAAAAACACAGATTTTTTACCCAGGATGAAATGCCCTAACACTAAAGGTGAGATATGTGAAGGACAGTGACTGAGCCTGTGGTCACAGTACCTGGCAGAAGTTCTCTGTCCTCCACTCTGACCTCTTGCAATTTCCTCCAAAATAATAACATTTCCAGCCAGAGACACCTCAAGCACTCTCTAGACTTTTGAGCTGATGACAGGATCCATTTAGGTTCCATGTTTACAATTTGACAGACAACCTCCCCAAACCAGGAAGCCACCACCCAGGTAAGGACATAGCCTGAGCCTTTATCATGGATCAGGATAAAAGGATCATGGATCTAGTGGGTGACATCCCTGCCCAAGGTGTTGGAACTAGAAGACCTTTAAGGTCCCTTCCAATCCAGGCCATTCTGGGATTATCATCATAGATCATCTTCACCACTGAAGCACTGGTACAACTCCCTGGAGAGAAGGGAGTTCTGTTGACCCAGCTTCTTCTGCTCTGCATCCAGCTCTTGGTGTTACTCCACAATCACCGTGGATGCTGCTCAGTCTGAGAGGAGGATTCAGAGGAGATGGAGCCAGCCAAATCCACTCACCTTGCCTTATTGCTCTGTCCACCTCAGAGGCATTCTGGAGCTCCAGGGTTACATTTTGGTAGGAGATCCTTCCCTGCCATGCCTGGCCTTCAGGCAACCTCTTGAGTTTTAGTTCCAAGGGACACCGAGTGACAATACCTGCAGCAGATCCAAAAACAGAGGTTGTGCATGAAACACGGCCTTGAAGTGTGTGGGGCACACAGGGCTGCCAAATGTTTCACACAAAAATGTGAAAATGTTCCAAGAGACACTGCCAGAGGGGATTTTTCCAACTTCCTGCTCAGAGCAGGACTGTCACCAGTGCTAGGTGAGGTCAGCTATGGCTCTTCCCACACATGTTTGGCCCTGCAAACCTCCACACATGGAGTTTTGCTCCCCTCTGGATGATCTGTTCCAATGATGCAACTAAATCCTATGAAAAACCTTTGCATAACTCCAGCCTGAAGGACTAGATTATATTGTAAACTCACATGGAACTTGCAGAATTTGTGTGCAAAAATATACACTCAGAGCTGGAAAGTGGATCTTCTTGAGCTGTAGTCTCCTAACAATCATCTTTGACTTAAATGATGCGTTAAGTAAAGATCTTTGTACATTTTTTTTTACGTAATAATAATAAAAAATATATCTGTAAGAAAACAAAAAACCTAAAACAACCCCAAAAACAATTTTAAAAACTGGTTTTCCATGTGAAATCAATACTCTGCTGCACTGCTGCTTCTGGGAAATGCACAGTCAGCTGGGGCAATTACACTGCACTTCTTACTCCTGGTTTCTTGACCACCTGGAACACGTGCCTTGGATTTACCCTGTGGTGCCTCACTCACACCTCTCTTTCTCAGTCATGGAGTTATCAAATTCCAGACCAAAAAATAAAATTTAAAAAAAAAACCCCAAAACACAGAACCCTTCCACCTCATCAAAATGAAAATTTGAGAAAGTGAATTCTCACCATTGCCCCTGGGGAGAGCAACACCAGACAGGGCTTCGAGGACAGAACTTTTCCCGGAGCTCTGGTCTCCAATCACCGCAATCGCAGGCAAGGACAAATCCTTTTCTACCCCAAGAGCTCTCAGGCTGTCAACAAGATCAATGCAGGGTCGGATCTTTTGCTCATATTGGTTGTACAAGGTCTGTTCTGCAGCCTGCAAGAGTTAAACTTACAATGAATTTTCCAGAATTTAAAACAAAACAAAACAAACTCCAAAAAAACCAAGATGCATTTTCTAGTCATCGTTCTTTAGTACAAGTTAATTACTGTCATCAAGCTCTACTTCATATCACTGTGCATCCTTGCATCTCCATGTAATAAACAGGTGTCTGTAAATATGAAAGAAACAGTTGATGTTGGCTCACAGACCATCCTTAGTAAAAATACCAAATTTTGGAAGCCATCCTGAGAAATTAAAGAACACATTAATAAGTGTGTTTTATTAATTTCTTTTAATAACAGTGTTTTTAATAACTGCCATTTTCTTCTACTCATCCACAGATGTACTGAAGGATGTGTATGCAAATGAAGACTGATCCCAGAAATCACTGAATTTGGTAAAAAATAGCTAATTAGATTTTTGTTTGGGAATTTGAAGATTTAGTTTGTGCACAGACGCCAAAAGAGTGCTGCTGTAACATTCTTAACAGGTGGCTGAAATCTTTTAGATCATCATGGCTCTTCCTTCTTTGCCTCATTTTAGGCTCACATAAGACATGAATATGAGTGGGTTGTTTTAAATGACTGGTTATTGTCATTTTCTGGGTTTGATACCAGGTATTAACACAGGCTCTTCCTTTACGTGAAAACAAAACAAATAATTTTCAGTCTTTGGCAAAACTGGTCCATCTGCTGTTAAATATGCTCAGCTAAAGTATATAAAGATCATCTTGGTCTCTTCTCCCTGTTCCTCTCTCCATGTTCCAGTCTGACTGCTACATTTAGAGATGCAATTCTGGGAACACCAATATGTTTCAGACATACTAGGCCAGGCACATTCAGACCTGATTTTCTGAAAATAAAAACTAAAGTTTCCTCCATCGCTTTTATCCAAGAAAAATGCCTCCAAAAGTATGTCTATGGATCAGATGCACTCAAACAAAGCAGATTTTTTGGTTCAAGATGAGGAAGGCAGTACACACTACTGGAGACAGGGATTTTAAACCATTTTTGGTAGCCCCTGCCCACTCCTTTCACTACAATGTTTAATACCTAGCAAATTCTCAAAAAACTTCAATAACTGTGTCACAGACTTAAAACCAATCTATGTCCAGTGTAAAATATCCAAGCAGGTTATTATTAACCTTTCTGTGCATTTCTGTTGTGGGTTGAAGAGCCTCAAGGAGAAAAAAAAACACCTCAGCTTTTATGGTTTCTGTTCAACATTTGTTGCTAGGATCAAAACAGACACATGTCACACATAAAATTTGGCTTCTAGGCTGCAGCCACCTCTTATTTTTAGACCTGCATTATTAAAGTCTGCAGATTAATTGCAGGTACCTCTCCTCTTACTTACATGAATAACTTCTAGACCTCACCCCAAAAGTTCTCCTTAGATCTAAAAAGTGCAAATTGCCCAAACAGACAAAGGATTTAATTTTGGGGTACAAAGTGAAACAACAGAGTGAGAGTGGGGAGGATCTGTTCCCTCTCCTTGCCTTACTTACCTTGTCCTCTTCTGTAAAAACCTCTTTCTCCAAGCCCTCATGTTCACACCTAGTCCTTTTCTCAAACCTGTTCTCTGATATCTCAGCATCTTCTTCTGGGTCTGGTGGGAGAGGCACTGTAGCAGCTTCTGGAAGTGATTTCACAAAAGAAAATTGAAACCCCTCTTTCTCTGGGGTTTTGGATCTTCCAGAAGGATTGTTGAATGGTATTCTCATTTTATCCATGGCCTGCTAATTTACTGGGCTTCCACACAGGTTGTCCACAAATGCTTTGATCACTGCCTGGTCCAGCCACTCTGAGGTGCAGCTTCTGAAACCAAACATTGGGCAGTGAATGATTCCACCTTTCAACAGGGATCAGAGCAGAGAAAATCAAACACCACTTTTATTTCCTGATCCAAACGCTTAGTAGGTACTGTGAAAAACAATGTTCACATTTTTTATATAAAATTTAAAAAAGTTTAATAGAAAGACAGTTAGGAGATAGAAATAAAGCCAAATGTACAAATATGGCTGGGTGTCTCTGCATTCAGCCAAGAGAGCACACCTTACTAACAAAGGATTGTCCCTTAAAAACAGAATCCTATTACATATTCATAAATTCTTATAGGTGATTCAAACATTCCTCTTAAGTTTTAACTTTGTTTAGCTTCAACTCCCCCCTCCCCACTAGATCAATCTTCTTGGCTCTGTTGAGTCTCACATTCCCTGATAATAGAGGTTCAATAAATTCTTCCTTTGGAGTTCCAGTCACTGCTGTCTTCATCTGGATAAAAGAATTTAAGAATGCAGGGGAGGTTTCCTGATCATCTTTTCAGTCTCTGGGTTATATGAACAAAAGTAGTTTTTATTTTAATACCATGCTACAGCTTAACATATATATATGTATTATATCACAATTTCTAAGTTTTATCAATAACAGAAATAAAAGAAACTATATTAATACAGCAAAATTTTCTAACATTATGCAAATAACATTAATTTTAATATTTGTGAAAAGCCTATAATTTGCGGAATAAAATTTCTTGGTGGCCGACTTCATCCCCTCTGTCTCAGGAGACTCTTTGGGCCTTTGATGTTTTCCTTTCTTGGGCTGTAAAAAATTCTGTCATCACTTTTGCTTCTCTTCATTTGTGTTCACTCTATTTACCACACACCACTAGATCTAGTCCTTGTCTTGCCACATTACTTAAACAGCTCTTCGCACAACTCTTTTCAGTCCTCCTCTTATACACAATCTCAATTAGCGGGCACCTAATTTGACTTTCCACACACAAACCTCAGAGTTTTCACTTTGCACGTGGAGCATATGCCTTGATGGTTATTAAAGCAACAATACCAGCGTCTACCCACGGTTAAAACAAATATTAATCACTTGGTACTCAAGCACAACACTCTTTATTTACACGTGGGTTTGCCCCACGCTGATCCCAGTCACTTCGCTTTCCTCCGGCCGCCTCAGCCGCCCGAGGTCGGAACCGCGGATAGAGCTCCACACTCGCTCCGCACCTCTGCTGCTTCTCACTCGCTCATTCACACACCAAACACACTCAGTGACCCAACGTGTCCGGACTCAGCATTCACACAAAACAAGGCTTCGCTCGACTCACCCCCAGAGTCGCCAGCGGGCTGCTCTATCAGCTCAGCGAGAAACCCCCCTCATAGGCCGCGCCATGGGCCAGGATCCATCCCTTTCCCTCTGTCCCCGGCCCCTCCTGGCCGGCTGCTTGCAGGCCCACCGGGGCTGTGCTGTACGACAGACGTCTCTGCTCGCTTTACCACAGCCCTTCCCTTGATATTTCATTCACACCTTTATCCACAGCCTGGCAGGTTGTTGTCTGTCCCCGCGGTGAGCGAAGCGAGGTTTGGGGTCCCTCACGGAAAGTCCTGGGGGCGCGCCAGGGAATCCGTTCCTCGAATGGCTGGCTCGCCAAAATGATGTGCGGAATAAAAGGAACCCTGTAACTCACAGAGTAGTTATAAGAGCAGGTATGAATTTATTCAGCGCTGAGCTGCATGGAGATATCTCCTCCAAAAAGCATACACCCTTTTTTGATTAGGTTTTCGGTTTTTATCCTTTACAGACCAGGTTTACACGATACGCCTAATACATATTAATTTCCTAACCCCACCTGTCTTCACTTCATATTACAATTAGCTCCATGCCCCTTTTAGTTCTTTGGCCACCTTTTGGGGCTTCAAATCTGTTTCTTTCGGCTTAGGGTTTGAGGAATCTCCTTTATCTTGTGGTGCCTTTGTCTTTGCATCTTGTTTGTGTATTCCAGCTCCTTTTCTCATCTTATCTTGCAGTCTGACTCTTTTTCTTGCTCTTATGGATTAGGGTGTCAGGGTATGGTTTTTGTCAGACACCCCTTTTAGTCAAGCATTTCTTCCTAATTCTTAATTTTTCTGTTGTAATATAATAGGTATCTAGAACAGGACCAAGTGCCACAGCTCTTTTCAAATCACAAAAATTGGTCTCAGAGGACAGACTTGGAACACTTCTTACCTTTCTTATGCCTTTTTTTTTAATTAAAAAAAGTGCCATGGAAATAAACAGTATTTGTTTTTTTGGAAAAAAAAAAAAAAAAAGTTACACCTATTTTTGCAAAAAGCTGATTGTCCTCTAGGAAATATTTTGCTGAATGGTGTTTGGAGAAGCTCAGTCAGTGTCAGGGCAGGATTGGAGGGAGTGTGAATCCTTAAGTTCCTGGGGTCAGGAGTGTAGGGCTGTGGGCTAGCTCCAATCCATAATCTGCTAAGTGGCCATCTCACCTTTTTTGTGGAAGAAATACTTGTCAGAGGCAAGTCTGACACTGGTTTTTGAAGTTCTGTATCTCGGTTCCCTCCTCTATAGCTTAAAACCCTCTGCCAAGAGCAGACTTTGCTTCACATGTTGTTAGAGAAGGGAGGACTATGAGGCTTTTTATTTCCTTGGAGAAGTTTAATTTCCTTATGGAGAAGTTTTGTTTTCTGTGGGTGACTGAGGAGATCAGTGGCTTTTGGCATGACATTATCCAGGGAAGGTGATTTCCAGAGAGAGTGATTTAAAGAAAAAAAAACCAAAAACAAACCAAGAATTCCTTTTCAAAGCTAGATTTTTTTTTTCTTTTCTCAAACAACCATCTGCCCCACTTAGCCCCAGATTTGGTCAGCAGTCCATGTCTAAAGGGCTACAATAGGAGCCCTTTAGGTTCTGGTGGCAATGCACAGATTTACAATCTTTGGCCTTGCAGAATTCACCACTGCAAAGCAACAAAGCACATCTGGAGCTACTGCAGGATTCTGTGTCTGTGTTTGGGTAGGCCTTGGGTATTTTAACACCTGTCCAAAAGTGCTGGAGCTGGAGGTACCGCCTTGTGAGCATCCTGGTGGGGAGAGAAGGTGATGAGGAGAGGGGAAAATCGACCCAGAAACATCCTGCAACTTCGTGACACCACTTTGTCCTGCTGGCCCAGTCTCCAGCAGCATTTTTTATCCTTTTTGTAGCCAATGTGCACCAAAGTCAATTGCACATAATTCATTCCAGAGATCAGGAACTGAGATAATTATGCAAACATCCAGACCTCCCACAATACCCACCTGGTGTGTTTACTTAGGACAAACCCCATGGCCATCACAGAGGTGGAAGGGAGCTGGGGAGGGCTGAGGATGCCTGAGGAGACCTGACTATCTTAGGTCACCCTTTACAAACATGGAGATGGGGAGCAGACCACAAGGTGCACACACACACACACACACAACACCCCTGCACAAAGATCCTGCAGCCAGCACCGGAATAAACCATCGTGTGGATTTCTGGGGCTACACTGCTGCTCTTCCCTGGACCTGGAAAGGGTAAGTGGGCTCTGTAACCCTTCCTGTGCCACACTGGCATAGTGATTTCTTTGTGTACTGAGCCATGACAACATCGGATGGAAGAAAGGAGGAGAGGAAAACAAAAAAGCTGCAATTGTAAAGAGCCCTTCTTCAATGGGCCAGAATCCACCTGTGAAACATGAGACGAGGATGATGTGATAATACTGAAAGTCTGCCAAGAATTTCCTCTGACCAGAGCTGCCCCTGCCTCCTTTGTCAGGACAATACTGATTTCCTTGAGCTTTTCCTTTAGAATTTACCTGCTTGTGTGTGGGAAACCTCTCCCAGCAGAACACGAAGCATTCTGCTGCACACCCACAAACACCAACCTGCTGATGGTTCTGAAAAGGAGTTGCTTTGGTTTTCTGTAATGACCCTTTGGCTTTGCATCTGTAGAAGATGAAAATCCCCTTCTAAAAAATCCCCTCTCAATCCCAAGGTGCAGAGCTGCAGTGCTGAACCCACAGAGCATTATTTATCCGCTCTCTGCCCAGCCAGAAAACCACATGGACTTCTGGCTGACACATCCTGTGACTTCAGGATATTTGGGTAAACCTCACAGTTTCCATTATTTCTATTAACTCTAGCTGTGTTCTCATAAAAGAAAATGAAGCAATGCAAAGCTTATGATCCTCATAAATACTGCCAGCTAGATCATCTTGCTGAATAATGGCTTTAAAAGAAAATTAAATGCCATCTCTCAGTTGTCTCCTCTTAAAGAGGAAACAATACTGACATCTTTTTTCTTTTTTTTTTTCCACCCCAAAAAGCAAAAAATCCTGCTCCTGGCAACCCTGTTTAATCACACTTACTTTAGACACTTTATGCAGCCTAAAAAAAGTCACATTAATAGGAATGAAGATAACAGTAAAAAATTGCATTACTCTTTTTAGAAGAAGGAAAGAAGAAACTTACCCTGGTAAGTCCTGTAGGAAGGAGAAGCAGTGACTTTCTGAAACTTCTTCAGATGCCTTTTCCTTTGCAGGCTCCTCCTTCTGATTATGACACACAACAGAAGAAATGAAACTAATTCTCACAGGAGAAATACTTGGCTTATGTGGAAATGACCAGGCTGTTTCAAAAGACAGAGCTGCCATGAGTGGGCACACACTTACCTTGCACCTGGCTAAGTTAAAGGCATGGATATCTCAACACATGAATTGTGTCCACAGTGAAGGGGGGGCCTCACAGCCCGAAGTTCAGAGAGACAGAGTACCCTAGAATGGTTTGGAAGGACATAAAGATGATCTTGTTCCACTCCTCTGACATGGGCAGGGACACTTTCCACTATTCCAGGCTTCTCCAAGCCCTGTTCAGCCTGGCCTTGGGAACCTCCAGGGATCCAGGGGCAGTCATAGCTTCTCTGGGTACCCTGTGCCAGGGCCTGCCCACCCTCACAGGGAAGAATTTCTTCCTAATATCCAATCTAAACCTATTTTCTTTCAGTTTAAAGCCTTGTTCTATTACTACCTGCCCTTGTAAAAATCTCAGTCTTCTCTGTACCGCTATTCAGCAGAGGACACCAAGGTGGAACTAAGCTTACTTATTGCTGAACTTTTAGTGACTTGTGAATTATTAATTAATCGCTGTGTAGCCTTAGGATATTTAGCACTTATGCAGCAAATGCATTTATCAAAGGCAATTCTGCTACAACTCAAAACACAATTCTTGACTAAACTGTCTCCATGAAAGTCCTTAGAAGGGCTCTGTCAGGAAAATGTGAAATTCATACTGTTAATATTAATAGTGATAATAATAGTGATAATAATAGTGATAATAATGATAATAAAATAAAAATAAAAATAAAAATAAAAATAAAAATAAAAATAAAAATAGAAATATAATAATAATAATAATAATAATAATAATAATAATAACAATAATGCAATGTGCTGGGTTGTTTTCCTTTCATTTCCCTGTATGTTTAGTGAATAGCAGAAATGAAACTCCTCACAGCACAGCTAAGCTCCTCCTTCCTTGGCTCTACTGTATAATAGGATGTCAAGGACAAATGGCAGAGGTACTTGGAAATAACTGAGCAACAGCTGAATCATTTCACTCACACCTGGGGCAGAACCTGCTGGTTCAAGCTGCTGTGCCCCACTCCCACTGCTGTTGCCTGATGAGGATCCTGGTCCTGTGCCATCCAGGGGATCCTTTCAACCTCCTCATCCCTCCATGCAGTAGGCAAGTGGGTGAGGGCTCCCTCCACAGAAGTATTTCTTCCACCTCCCAGTGAGACTTTCCATCCCAGCCAGGGTGGCAAACCCCGCCACCACTCATGTGGGGCTGTGCCTTGGCTGCCAGAGGTTGTTGGATGTGGGTGACAAGGCAGAAAAGTGACACACAGTGTGATTTATGCACTGGTTCAGGACAATTCCAAATTGTTTCTCATGACCTTGAGGTGTTTTCTCAACATCACTAGGTCAGGATGCATGCTCTTCTGCTGTCCTTGCTCTCCTGCCATCAATATTTTGTGTTTTGGGGCTTTTTTCTTTGTTGTTAATAGGCTCTAAGTTGTGAAACAATACCAGTATACTTTGTTCAGTCAGGGGCTTTCCAAGCTGGATACAGGATCCTCCCTTGCTTCTCCCTCCCTCTGGTTTTGCCCCTTGCGTCGACTGATCAGCTGTTCTTGATTCCTGGCTGTTCTGGTGGGTTTCAAACTGCCTTTCTCAGGTCCCTGGGGCTGACTTCTCTGGACCCAGCTCTTTTTCCTCATTCTGCACCTGGCAGGGACTCAGAGGATTTGTTCCAGGCTCTGGCTGTGAGTACAGAATGTGACACACAGTGGGGCTGGGCACGGGCTGCAGCAGGACACCACAGCTCTGAGCTCTCCTGGCCTCTTTCACCATCCCTGTCCTTACACTTCATCGTACAGGAGATCAATCTGAAGGAGATTCTAAGTCATACTCTTGTCCCAAAATGGCTTTTTTCACCCTGCAAGAGGCTGATCCTCACACAGAGTTGAGTATTTTGGTTTATTTACAGTTCTGCACAGAAACAGGTGCTGGGTGGCAAATCCACAAAGCCAGCCCAGCGACTATCAAAACATTTCACTATTTATACACAAACAAAGGCTTTCATGTTCAATGGCTACAAGTCACAGAGTTCTTTTATAAACTAATATTTTATCTTCTATCGATTAAATTATTCTCTCACTTCTTTTGCTAATTAGTCCTCATGCTCAGTCTTTCTCTTCTTTTGAGATAGTGAGTTTTTGGGGCTGGTGGGCAGTGAGTCAGTGGTTGTGATCTTCCCTTGCCAAAATTACCCATTCCTGATTTGATGAGCTGGCCTTGCTTTGTTCCTTGCTGTTTGGCATCATCTTAGTTTATTCACCAAGCATCCTTTCTGTGTTGTGTTAGTTCAGCAGTAAGTTATGCCTGGCTGCAATTGATACATTATCTCAAGTTTCTTCTATTCTTTTTTTTTTTCCTACAGCTGCTGCAATTACTGAGACACATTAAATATAATTTATCTTTTAGGGAGTTGTTCATCACTTCCTCCAGTTGAAGCTATGAAGCCACAACAGCACTCAAACCCCTCACTTTTTATGAATATCACACATTTTCCCGAAATTAATCACAGGGATGACTGGCAAGACAATTGCTTCATGATTTTTCAAATGCAAATATTCAGTGCTGCAATTAAGACAAAGCATTAA